AATTTTGATTTATTTTGCATTTTAAAAAAAAATATATCTCCAAAATGAATGGTTATGATTGCGTCTTCACGTCTCATAAATATAATGGTCTCACATGAACATATATCAAGGTTGCAGAAATCGTTCGACGTTAGTTCGACGGTCGATTGGGGTTAATAGATTAATCGGTCTCGATGTGGATTAATTGGGGACCATTATTTATTAATAAAAAATTAAATATATACTAAGCAAATAACAATAAAAAAAGTCATAACTAGTATTTAAACATTTTAAGTCATAATCGGTCATACTACAAGTCCAAAATAAGTTTAATAATAATAGAAACACACATTTTCATATATTTAAATATCCATATTCTTTTAATCTTCAAGTTCTTCCACTATTTGAACTCCATCCGACTCCTATTCATCTTCTTCAAACATTTGCTCCTCATTGTCGGATTCGAAATCTTTATCAAAAAGTTCTCTTGGTGTTGAACTTTGACGATGTACTTGATTATTATTAGTCCAAGAGCTTCATCTATTTCTTCCATCACTGATTCGGGGACAACTTCATCTCCATCACCGTCATCTCCATCTATCATCCATTCTTAAGCTCCATGAGAATCATTTGCTAAAAGCACTTCCAAAGTCCTATAATTTCTCTTTTTGTTTGTTTCCAATAGATTAGCATTGAATTGAACATAAACAAGATTGTTCAATCTATTTGTCTCTTATCTATTACGTTTCTTTGTATGTACCTATAAAAGTACACATAACAAAAGGTTAAAAACATTCTTGATATTTAAAAATTACAACTTTATAACTAACCGCTTCAAACGTGCTCCAATTTCTGTCACAACCCGATGAACTACTAGTTAAAGAAAGAATCCTCATTCTAATCCTTTTCAAATGAGGAGTTGAGCCACCAAAAAGTCTCCACCATCTTGCTATAATTTTAAAGCAAAAACACATTATTGAATTGATAAATATAAAGTTCTATTATTTTATAAATTACTAATTAAAATAAACATAAAGTACATTACCCGGATCAAAGTCGACATTGTTCACCATACAACCTTTAATTGCAAGATCCGCTCCAAATCTATCAACTTTTTCCTTGTATTTTGGCAAATCTATCATCACGGCTTGTCTTTGCATCTCAAAATCTCCACAAATCAATGTATCAAAAAATTGAAGAACCGCATCCATTACATCGGGATCATGTTGGAGTTGGGAATCCTTATAATGATAATAAGGATTCAAAAGATAAGCTGTCAAATGTAATTTTGAATCTAGCCTACTTTTCATCTTGTGGTTTATGATATCTATAATAGGCTTGTAAGCTTTCTCGTTACCACCCAAAGCTTTCATAATTTCTTATTTTGCTACTTTAAGCTCCCCGTAAACAAAACCCATTGAGGGCTTCCAATCCGCATCAACCATTCGAAGGACTGTCACCAAAGGGGAAAAGACTATTAAACATTATGTCACACCGGCCCGAAATTGAAGACTTGTCACTGTTCCATATGAGGCTCTTCCTTTAGGTGTTCCAAAAGTTTTGCATTCCTCCCACTCATTACTAGAGAACATATTTTTTAGTTGCTCCTTCTTTTTGGATAAACTTTGTAATGCTAGAAAGGCGGAAGCAAATCTCGTTACTCCCGGTTGGATAATTTCCCTTTTCTTGGTGTAGTTTCTCATCATAGCGAAGGTTTTGTGGTGAGCATAAATGAAGATGGTTAATTTCTTTGCTTGATCTAAGACTTTCTTAAACCTTGGAAGTCCACCGATACCTTGAAAAAAACGATTATATAAAAAATTAATGAATTATAGTATAAAATAAGACATGTAAAAAGGTAAATAATGTAATAAAAAATATAAATACCTTCGAGCATAAGGTTAATTGTGTGTGTCGCACATGATGTCCAAAAAATAGTTGGTCTTTTCTCTTGTAGTAACTTTGCAGCTCCCATGTTATTCGTGGCATTATCGTTCACAACTTGAACAACATGATCGAGACCAACTTGTTGAATGCAAGATTCCACATAATCATATATGTATTGGTTTGTATGTGATTCATTGGAACATTCTGTTGATGATATAAAAACGGTACCCATTCTTGAATTTACACATAAATTCATAATGCTCTTTCTCTTTCTATCTGACCAAGCATCCAATCTTTCTCCATTCTTCTTCGTTTTTTTTAACAAACTTTTTGTTCTTTCAACCTCATGCTTTAGAAGTGGGTCACTCAAAGAATACCTGGTAAGAGGTTGGAGCCCTGTTCCAAATTGACCAACAACCTCCAACATCATCTTGAAGCTATCATCTTCCAGTGCATGAAAAGGAATTGCAGTTTTATATGTCCACCTACTAATGAATTTATAACACTCTAAAATTCTTTCTTTACGAAAAACATCATTAAGATCAACTTTCTATCCCTTTCCCTTCAAAATTTCAGGGTTTATTTTGTTCGCATAACCATCCATGGGGCCTATATAACTTGGTGCTTTCGACCCTAAAGAATCTTCTATTTCTTCTATTTCAACACTATTATTTAACACTTGTAATGCCTCCGATCTTAAGGCCATATCATGTTCAAGTTTAGCTTTCTTTTTTATCTCCCCTTCGTTAATAAAATTTCGCATTCTTAATTGATCATTTTTTGTAGAGTTTGGACATCGACTTACATTTCCCGACACATGACCAATATGTTGTTTCAATCTAGTAACCCCCCGGTAAACACTTTTCCACACAAGTTACATTTCACTGTATTCATCTTGTTTTTATCTGGGCAAAAACCATATTCCCAACAAATATCATCTGAGTTCCGTTTATGAGCATCGCTCACGGTTGATCCCATCGATGGTGAAGTTGAATTTTTGGATGTCATTTTTGGAAACTGTTATATCCATCAGAAAAATACATCAATAATGCACCAGAAATCATACCATCACAACATATATCTTCAGAAATCACAATAAGTTAATAACACAGCTAAATACCAGAACTACAAAATTAATCAAGAACATATACAAACAAATGGGAATGTGAAATTTGGCTGCATTAATCAAGAATAGATGCAACAAGTAGATAACAGCAAGTCAATATGCATTTTTGTTGCATAAATCAACAACCGGTGCAAGAAATACGAACCGATTCAAGAAATACTAAATTAGATACAAACAAATGGGAGAAATATGAAGAACAGATGGATTAATAGTTGCAGAAATCAGTACCCAGCAAACAGATAGGAGAATTGAGCATTTTTTGGAAAAAGTGAAACACATAATCACAGATATATCGGCTCAACGGTCAACATTAACTCAACAATTTTGGAAGAAAAATGAATATAGATGGGAGAAATACATACATAAATCAACTCATCAAACATAAGGGAGAATTTAGATGCGAGAAATACAAGTTCGGTGCAAGGAGAAACATAAAATCGCAAACCTGAAGGATGAAGCTTCGTCGGAGTATCTATTTGTTGGAGGTTCGTCGGTGTCCAATGGAGGTTCGACAGAGTCTGGTGGGCGTCAGCTTCAGTGTATCACCGGTGTAACCTCTTACGCTTTGCTTCAACGATTGAGAGAGAAGTGACAAAAAACAGCGACGTGATGAAATGCAATACTAGGGTTAGACGAAGTTAACATTTGACTGCCTTTGGAGCCTTTTTTTAATTTTGACCACCTTTGACATTTGACTAATTTTGACTTTCATTGACCGTCGTTGGCCAAACCTGACCAATTACCTTCAAACACCCCTAATCCTAATCGGTTGCAGAACGCCAAACGATTAATCCCGATTTCTGCAACTTTAATATATATATATATATATATATATATATATATATATATATATATATATATATATATATATATATATATATATAAATTTAATATAAAATATAAACATAAACATAGTGAAACCCTAAAATTATACCTAAACTATAGAACATGGTTATCGTCATTAAATTTCATATATATTGACTAGGGATAAGCTCGTTTCTAAACCTGAATGCGACCCAATAGGAACCGAACTGTAAAAAACCTAAACCAATATATGTAATTTGATTCTGGGTATTCGGTTCCATTACCCGCAAACATGATTTCCGAATGGTGACTTTTATCCATTCGTGTCCTTGAACATGGTTTACTAGATTGATGTTTTTAAAGTATTTTAGTTATATTAAATATGTTACTTATGGCATAGTAAAAAATAAATAACAAATCAATAGAAAACAATAAAAGTTTTGACATCTTCAATAATAAAATATAATTTAGAAGGTAAAATAAAATATAATTAAAAGATGAGCGTCAATATATAAAATATAAAAAAAATATTAGTTACTTAATATATATTAAGTAGTCAATAAAAAATAAAGTATATGTTCTTTTTGTGGTAAAACAATTTTAAAACATTCTAAAGGAAGTTTAAAAACTTTCTAAATATATTGTAAAAAAATATTAATAATGTTGTAAAAGACATTATAGAAAGTAAGTTTATACAAAAAGGTACATTTTTTTATTAAAAAAAATTCAAAAAAAGAAAAAGTTAAAATATCTTTAAAATTTTAGTTTTTAAAAAAAAAAATTAATTGTAGGACAAATTTTTTTAAAAAAATTTGGAAACTCAAGACATAAATCGTAACAAAATTAAAACTAGGACTAAAACTATAACATTGTAAAATAACTTTTATAATGGTATAACAAGTAAAAATAAAAATAAATGCATCTAAAAAAGTTAAATAATAAAATAATTGATTTCCCTTTTAATAAAGTTGTCGTTACATATCAGTAGAAAAAGCAAATAAAAAAAGTTAAAAAAATAAAATAATAGAAAGAAAAGAAAAATAATACCATGAGGATTCTAGCGAAAGAGAAACCCTTTGCCTTGAAGACGCCAGAAGCCTCTGAATTCATCTACAAATACCACCACCTTCTTCATTTCCACCATCCCAACAATTTCTTTCACGATCTTTAGTGTTCAAGCTTTTCCTAACTTTCCTTCGCAAATATGTCGATAATTCCAAGCTTCTTTGGTAGCCGGCGATCCAGTGCCTTTGATCCCTTTTCTTTAGACATTTGGGATCCCTTTGACGGTTTATTGACCTCCTCCCTATCTGATATTCGGGCAACTGCCCGTGAAACCACCCCCAGAGTTGACTGGAAGGAAACCCCACAAGCTCACATTTTCACGGTGGATCTTCCAGGGTTGAAGAAGGAGGAGGTGAAGGTTGAGGTGGAAGAAGGTAGGATTTTAAAGATCAGTGGAGAGAGGAGCAGCGAGAAAGAGGAGAAGACTGACAAGTGGCACCGTGTGGAGAGGAGCTCCGGCAAGTTTCAGAGGAGTTTCAGATTGCCGGAGAATGCAAAGGTTGATGAGATGAAGGCTTCAATGGAGAACGGAGTGTTGACTGTGACTGTGCCAAAGCAGGAGGTGAAGAAGAAGCCTGAGGTGAAAGCCATTGATATCTCGGGTTGAAGGTTAAATAATTGAGTGTGTTCATGAATGGGATGGAATATGGATGTCTTTATGTTGAATAAAAAAAAATAAGATTTAAAATATGTGTGCATGGGAAATGGGAATTAAGGAGATTGTATAACAACACAAGTTAAAAGTTTGTAATTTGTTCTGTCATGAAATAAATTTGTTTGCCTTTACGTAGTAGTTTTTTCTGCTCATTTTATTTCTTCACTAAGCATATGCCCTAATGCCCGTACGTTGTGCAGAGACATTTATATAGCTGAAATATTTACCAATATATATTTTTTTAAACATAACAATTATGTGATTATTAAATATGATATAATAATTCGTATACTAAAATGATATAATATATTGATTAATTTGAATTATATGATAATATAAGAATCTATAAAAATCACATAATCTCAATCTTTTGAATGGTTTCTACCCGTGAGTTATTCATGAATAAAATTAAATATAATATATGGTTTAATGTTACTTATAGTTGTTGTTATTGTTAATTAATTTTTTAAATTTATTTGCTTAACGTTTTGATTTCTATCATTGTAATTATTTAAAACTTCAAACAATTTTTTTTTATTTTAAAAGTAACAATATAATCAGTTATATTGAGTTGTTTTTAACTATTGTTATTGTAAATTATTTTAAACTACTTATTTGAAAACTTTTAACGATTATAAGACTATCTTTAGGAAATATTTTAGGTAAATTGATACTACAATTTAGTTTTTGCATTTAGCACTACAATTTTTCATTTTTAAATATTCACAAAATAATCTTTGAGTTTTTAAGTGGAACTGAAATTTATACTGAAGTTGATTTTGTAATGTTATATTTAAATTAACAATTTAAGTATTTTGTCCAAACTTTTTAAAAGTTGTAGCTTTAAATTGAGATTGGTTTACATACAACAAAATATTAAATCTAATAAATTAAGTATAATATGTTAAAAGTTAAAAATAAAACTTTCTAAGTAGAAGTAAAAATATTATTTTAATAATAAAATTTAGTTTATTTATGATTACATTTTAGGTTTAATACTTATTTAACATTATTATCTAACTTATAATCATTATTAGAAAGACACTACATCTTATCACTTTTAACTATTTACAAAATATTTTTTAAGTTGTTTAAGTTAAACTAAAATTTATATTTAAATATGATCTTGTAAGGTTATATTTAAAGTAATAATTTAAGTGTTTTATACAAATTGTTCAAAAGTTGTAGCTTTAAAATGAGAATGATTTACATACAACAACATATTAAACCTAATAAATTAAGTATAATATGTTAAATGTTAAAAACATAACTTTATAAGTAGAAGAAAATATATTCTTTTAATATTGAAATTTAGTTTATATATAATTACATTTTAGGTTTTATATTTATTTATACTTATTAACCAACTTATAATCATTATTAGAAAGAAATTGAAAAGTCATAGGAGTTTCAAATGAATGGGAGTTTCAAATGCATAAGATTCAAGAAAAAATGTTAGCTTTATAAGTATACTAGGCGAATGCCCGCACGTTACGCAGAAACACCTATATAGTTGAAGTCTTTACAAATATATGATATTTTAAGTATAACAATAACGTCGTTATTAAGTTTGATATAATAATTTGTATATACTAAATTGATATAATATAATGATTATTTTGAATTATATGATAATATATATATATATATATATATATATATATATATATATATATATATTTATTATACCTTCATAATCTCAATCGTTTGAATAACTTCTACCTCCGAGTTACACATGAATAATATTAAATATAATATATGATTTGATGTTATTTGTAGTTGTTTTTATTGTTAATTAATTTTTTAAAATTTATTTGCTTAATGTTTTAATTTCTATTATTATAATGATTTAAAACATCAAACATTATTTTTTTATTTTAAAGCTAACAATATAATCATTTATATAAAGTTGTTTTTAACTATTGTTATTGTAAGTTATTTTAAGCTACTTATTTGGAAACTTTTAACGATTATAAAAATATATTTTAGAAATATTTTAGTTAAATTGAGATTACAATTTAGTTTTTTGCTTTCATCACTACAATTTATCACTTTTAACAATTTACAAAATATTATTTAATTTTTTTAAATGGAACTGAAATTTATATTTGAGTTGATATTGTAATGCGCAGAAACACCTATATAGTTGAAGTATTTACAAATATATATTTTTTAAAATATAACACTAACTTGTTGTTAAATTTGATATAATATTTTGTATATTAATTTGATATAATATATTGATTATTTTGATGTGATAATATATAAATTTATTATAACGTCATAATCTCAATCGTTTGAATGACTTCTACTCGTGAGTTACACATCAATAAAAGTAAATATTATATATGGTTTAATATTATTTATAGTTGTTATTTTTAACTAATTTTTTAAAATTTATTTGCTTAATGTTTTTAATTTCTATCATTATAATTATTTAAAACATCAAACATTATTTTTTTATTTTAAAGGTAACAATATAATCATTTATATAGAGTTATTTTTAACTATTTTTATTATAAGTTAAGCTACTTATTTGAAACTTTTTAACGATTATATAAATATATTTAGGAAATACTTTAGTTAAACTGATATTACAATTTAGTTTTTGCATTTATCACTATAATTTATTACTTTTAACTATTTACAAAATATTATTTGGTTTTTTAGTGGAACTGAAATTTATATTTAAGTTGACACTGTAAAGTTATTTTTAAATTAACAATTTAAGTATTTTGTCCAAACTACTCAAAAATTATAGCTTTAAACTGATAATGGTTTACATGCAACAACATTTTAAATCTAATAAATTAAGTATAATATGTTAAAATTTAAAGACATAACTTTATAAATAGATGTAAAGATATTGTTTTAAAATTTAAAATTTAGTCTATTTATGATTACACTTTAGGTTTGATATTTATTTAACATTATTAAGCAACTTACAATCTTTATTAGAAAGACACTACAATTTATCACTTTTAGGTATTTATAAAATAATCTTTGGGTTGTTTAAGTTAAATAAAATTTATATTTATGTTGAGCCTATAATGTTATATTTTAATTAATAATTTAAGTATTTTATACAAACTCTTCAAAAATTATACCTTTAAAATGATAATGGTTTACATCTAACAATATATTAAAACTAATAAATTAAGTATAATATGTTAAAAGTTAAAAAACATAATTTTATAAGTAGAATTAAAGATATTATTTTAATATTGAAATTTAGTTTATATATGAATACACTTTAGATTTGATATTTATTTAACCTAATTACCAAACCATAATTATTATTATAAAGAAATTGAAAAGTCATGGGAGTTTCAAATGAATATGGTGAAAGGAAAAATATATATATATATATATATATATATATATATATATATATATATATATATATAGATTTCAAATGCATGAGATTCAAGAAAAAATGTTAACTTTATAAGTATGTATGATAATGATGTGTTTATTGTTCCTCAAGGAAGAGCCAAATACTAGAGTTGCACTATTAGGAAGTCGCACCATGTTTGTGCCCATGGAGAGTAACCCGTTGGATAACGAATTGACCGGATGTCGTTACCCTTACTGTTGGATAACATATTTATGATATTTAGGGATATTTTTAGTAATAGAGCCTTCTTAGATGCAACAGGGACGTGATTTGTTGACAAACCATCTACATCAGGAAAGGATCTAAACCGTGAACTGATATAGTGGCAATGTCAACCTTCATATTTTAGGGTTTTCACGACATGACTTAAGGCGATAAAAATTTAACTAAAACTCAATGGTTTATGCCAAGAGCGGATTTAGGGGGTTTTCGGGGTGGCTAGGGCAACCCTTCAAATTTTGTAGAACAATGTATTTTTTTTTGGGAAACTTTTCAATATAATGTAAATTCTCCGGCATGCAACCCTTGAGATTTTGTCATGACCAATTAGAAAAGGCAAAAATGTGCCTTGATTCGCTTTGGCACACATCACACTCAATGGCAAATCTAGAACATAAAAACCATGTAGGTCACTATTTAAGTGAATCAGCGTTTTATGTTACATTTTAAATTTTTTTTATTTATTTTAAGTTCTATTGAACTGACTTTGAACTATCTTTTATTATATTACATCGGGATAATGACTTAAAAAATAATTTAATTGTTTATGTTAATCTACTATGTAAACGCTATTTTTTCATTGTATTATGTTAGTCTTCGAATGTTTTAGATAATTAATCATCTATACATGTTATTCGGGTTATTCGAGTAATAACCGAACCAAACCTCTTGATACTCAAAAGTCAAACCGAACAAAACATGTATTAGTTAATCGGTTCGGTTTTCAGTTAAACACAATTACTCTTATTTGATTTTCAGATTATTCGGTTTTCAATTCGATCCGGTACCAACCCGAATAACATCCCTACTAAAAACCACACCAATATTTTTTGGTTTTTGTAAAACTAAAACCACACCGTGTTTTTTTTTTCAATAATGGTTTTTCAGTTTCGATTAATACATTTTTTTCGATATGCGGTTCGGTTTACTTACCCCTATAGAGACCTTTTAAGCCAAATGAAAAAAGTTTGTAAAGTTTTAAACATTAACACTTTTATAAATCGAGATCACATACTTTCAATCCAACTCTGGTTCGATGTTTGAAACCACACCCCAATCATTTTTTATTAGATTCTCAGCAATGATTTTATCATAATTTTGACCAACACATAACCAAATTTTCTAGAAAAAGATGCACCAAAACATCCCCAATTAACAATTAACCAAAAAAAAGTCAACTAACAACTTCATAGCAACAGTACACACTTAAAAACCATATACAAACACCAAATTCCAAAATCCAAGAACAAGTCAAGTACTAGACAAAAAAAGAAATGGTACTTATGATCCAGATAGACAAATTACAACCAAACCTACTATGTGTTTGCATAAAACGGCAGTTGAGATTACAACCACTCATATCATATAACCACCCACCAAAAACTCCAAACTACAAATAAAAAAAAAAAAAACCAAAATACATTCCCTTCCTTCTTTCCTCAAGCCTCCTCATACTCCTCTTCCTCCTCATACTCACCCTCCTCATCCGCAGTCGCATCCTGATACTGCTGATACTCAGACACCAAATCATTCATGTTACTCTCAGCCTCAGTGAACTCCATCTCATCCATTCCTTCACCAGTATACCAATGCAAGAAAGCCTTTCTCCTAAACATAGCAGTAAACTGCTCACTCACACGCCTAAACATCTCTTGAATAGAAGTAGAATTCCCAATGAAAGTGGAAGCCATTTTGAGCCCAGTTGGTGGGATATCACAAACAGTTGACTTCACATTGTTTGGGATCCATTCAACAAAGTATGAAGAGTTCTTGTTTTGAACATTTAGCATCTGTTCATCGACTTCTTTTGTGCTCATTTTTCCACGATAGATGGCTGAAGCAGTTAGGTAACGCCCGTGACGTGGGTCAGCTGCACACATCATGTTCTTCGCGTCCCACATTTGTTGGGTGAGTTCAGGGACTGTTAGGGCACGGTATTGCTGGGACCCACGTGAGGTTAGAGGGGCAAAACCGACCATGAAAAAGTGAAGACGAGGGAATGGGATGAGATTGACTGCAAGCTTTCGGAGGTCAGAGTTGAGTTGACCGGGAAACCTCAGACAACAGGTGACTCCAGACATTGTTGCAGAAATGAGATGGTTTAGATCACCAACTGTAACAAGAAGTTGATGTTATTAGATTGAAATAAAGTTATTGATGGGAAACATGAAGAGTGTTTTAGTTTGAATTTTGAAGAGACTTACAGCTTGGGGTGGTGAGTTTGAGAGTTCTGAAGCAGATGTCGTATAGGGCCTCGTTATCAAGGACCATGCATTCGTCAGCATTTTCCACGAGCTGGTGGACTGATAAGGTGGCGTTGTAGGGTTCAACAACAGTGTCTGAGACCTTTGGAGATGGAAAGACTGAGAAGGTCATCATCATCCTGTCAGGATACTCTTCTCTGATCTTTGAAATTAGAAGAGTACCCATACCAGACCCTGTTCCACCTCCGAGAGAATGGCAGACCTGGAAACCTGTAAATCAAATGTCATTAGCATCTTTTGAACAAAACTCTGACGGATTTGGTCCACACTATGTTTGAATGCAAATTAGAAATTGTGAAAACACTTTGTTGAAACACTATTGAGTTGGTTTTCAAGTTATGATAAATACTCATCACACAAAGCAATGATAATTAAAGATCTCACTAAGGATAACGGTATAAGATTCAAACATCCAAACAGATCTGTAACGTATCAGAGAAACAAACCGATAACAGGTAGCGGATCTATCAAGTTCTACACGAATGTAAACGAAACCTTTAAAAATACTATATATCGAGTCCCGGTATTCCAAAAGTGTCACAAAAATATGCAATTCTCGTTAAACAAATTAACAAACAGATATCAGATGCGTAAAACACAACATAGAAACTTGAACTGAATAAATCGACAAAATGATTGTTAAAGTTTTAGATCCAGGGGATATACTATCGGATCTGTCATTTTCAACTCAAATTCAAAGATAATTCAAACATTTAAGAGAACTACGATGCATTTAATGAGTAAATAAACATCGAGATGTTGATGAATACCTTGTAAGCAATCACAATTCTCTGCCTCCTTTCTAACAACATCCAGAACCGAGTCGATCAACTCAGCGCCTTCAGTGTAGTGTCCCTTCGCCCAATTATTACCAGCACCAGACTGACCAAATACAAAGTTATCAGGCCTGAAGATCTGCCCGTATGCTCCAGATCTGAGACTGTCCATCGTCCCTGGCTCCAAATCCATGAGCACCGCCCGTGGAACAAACCTCCCACCACTGGCCTCATTGTAATAAACATTGATCCTCTCAAGTTGAAGCTCGGAATCTCCGGTGTACTTCCCGGTCACATCGATGCCGTGCTCGGCGCAAACAACCTCCCAGAACTTAGCTCCGATCTGGTTTCCACATTGACCACCTTGAATATGGAGGATCTCACGCATCTTTACCGGTGGTGGAAGAGAGAAACCGAGATTTGGGAAAGGAGAGTGATAGATGAGATCGAGTGAGCAACAGAGATTAGGGTTTGGATCGAGAGAGAGTTGGTTATATATGCAGGGAGCGTATGAGGGTATAGATGAATGTATACAGGTGATATATACGGTGTTTTTAAAACGGCTCCAAAGTGAAATTGATTTGAAATTCAAATGGAGGGTTGAGATTTGTTTAAGTTGTGAGGATCTAACGGTTGATAATTTTTTATATGAAGTTTTTGAAAATGGAGATTTTCATATCTGGATTCCAGCTAATATTATTCTTTTTTTTTAACCAGGGTTAAATCTTTTAACTAGAGGTGTGTAGATGTGATTTAGAAAATAAAATAAAAACAAAATTTATATATTGTTGGCGTCCGGACTCCGGACCGGCCTGGCCGTCCATCGAAGCATACACATGTTCGTACCACGTGACAGGTGATCGTTGCATTTTAATTTTCAATTGGCCAATAATTAAAGGGTGAGTTTATATTTTAAGTATTTAATTTTTTTATGGGATTTATAAAATATCGCTGATTCCGTGAAAACCAAGGTTGTGAGTTTGCGTGAACTTTGATTTTTCTTACTTCTATGAATGCTAATAAATGTTTTTTTTTTTTTTCTTTTTTAACAGTTACACCCCAAATATGAATGTTAGACGGTGATAAAAAAAAAAAAAAAAATGTGCAATGGCAAAATTTTGCAATATAAATTGAACAATTTGACATAAAAATATACTATTCGTTGACTAATAAGTTCATATACAGATTAAAAAAACAGGAAAAGAACATTAATTTTTCAAAATTTGTTAGCATGTCTTCTTCATTTGTGAGAGTTTGTTGGCCCTTTGAAGGGTATACTTAGGTGGTGGGTGTTTAAAATGACTTTGATATTTGTTAAATTGTTGTTTGGTCTTACACCGATGGTGAATTGGAGCTTATAATGAATGATTGGTTTATTAAAAAAAAATTTAATAAAATAGTACAATACATATCGATAGAAGTCAAACGCGCAACAAGTTGCGCCGCTAGACCTGTCTAAATGGCAAAACTAATCCTTTTAAAACAACATTTATGGATCTAGGAAATATGTTGGCCAATGTCATCAATGGGGATAGTTAGCAGAAAATCCTGAGCATGAGATGCCCGAAGACACTCAAAAACTGTTTTCTATCTAACAGTCATGTCAAAGTCGACTTCCATATCTTTGACGATTTTGCTAAAAATGGCACACGCCAATGCTTTTTGTGATTTAGGGGGGGTGTCCTTATTAGTGAAACTGCTACAATTAAATCTCGGAATCGTGTCGCAAAGACGAATCATAGCACATAGGTAATCATAGTTCATACCACATATGTCACTGCATGTAAGATGTGGTCTTGTAATGCCCAAGATTGGGCCCTCGGGGCTACAAATGCGTAGGAGAAAACCTCGTATGCCGAGTACAAACCCAAACCACCGAAACAAATAGGTAAGGAAACCAGATGCCATTGAATGTCTCCAAATAAGGGGCCTCCACATACCATCATATCCTCGGTAGATATGCACAATCATTTGTCAAAGAACAAAGTTGCCTCTTATACTTCTGTTTATCACAAGTCTTCGATTCCAGTATTATAGAAAATTTCCCAACAAAGCGATAGAAATCCTTATTCCTTCCATTTGTGTTATGTTTTCATATTACCCATAAATAAGTCTTGTGTTATACAAATTGTAATGACCCGAATAATTAAATATATGACTATGCCTTTATACGTTGTGTAGCAGTCTTGATACACACATTAAAGTAGATTGTTATTTTGATAAAGATAACCTACTTTAGTTCAATATGAGATGTAAGGCGAAATGCGATGCGTTTAGTCAAGGGTCAAGAGGTCAATAGAAAGTCAATGAAAAGATGCGACAGATGTGGTTGCGGAGGCGACGCATCGAAGGTTCTTGAATTAATTCATAGTGATCTATGTGAATTGCATTCAACTCCATCCATATGAAATAAGAAATACATAGTTACTTTTATAGATGATTATTCTTGGTTTTGCTATGTATATTTGTTACGTTCTAAGGATGAAGTCATTGATAAATTCAAAATTTATAAAAATGAAGTTGAATTGCAACAAAATGATTTAATCAAAAGAAGTCGCACTGATCATGGTGGAGAGTATTATGATCTGAGTTATTTCCAATATGTTGGTATTATACATGAAATAATTGTGCCATATTCTCCTCAACTAAATGTATTTCCGAAAGGAAAAATAGAGTTCTAAAGGAAATGGTGAACTTTATGTTGTCTTACTCATGTTTGACTGATGGTTTCTGATGAGAAGTTATGCTAACTACATGTTATCTTTTAAATAGAGTTTCAAAAAAAAAAAAAGGAACAAGCTAACTCCCTATTAAATTTGGTACAAAAAGAAACCAAACTTAGGATATCTTAAATTTTAGGGTTGTTGTAAGGCTGACAAAAACAAAATTGAAGATTTTAGTGAAAAAGGTATTGACTATATCTTTATTGGATACGCTGAGCATTCCAAGGCTTATAGGTTTTATGTTATAGAACCTAATGTTCATGTTTCAGTTAACAATGTTATAGAATCTAGAGATGCAATATTTGGTGAAAATCATTTTTCATCCATACATATACCAAAAGACTTGGTTCCTAGTTCGGGTGAAGCTACTAAGGATGTTGTACCTTATTCAAATGAGTCACATAAGCTTAGACGAAACAAAAGACAAAGGAAAGCTAAATCATTTGGTAATGATTTTCAGCTTTACCTAGTTGAGGGTTCTAGAGATGATATTGCAGATCAATATTCATATTGTTTTAGTATTGAAGAGGATCCTAAAACATTTAACGAAGCAATGAAATCTCAAGATGTTGCTTTCTAAAAAGAAGCAATAAATGATGAGATAGATTCCATCATGGGGAATAATACTTGGGTGTTGCCTGATCTTTCTTTTGGATGCAAACCTTTAGGTTGCAAATGGCCATTCAAAAGGAAGATGAAAGTTGTGGATCAATTGACAAGTTTAAGGCTCGATTGGTTATTCAAGGTTTTAGACAAAAGCCTGGAATTGAATATTTTGGCACTTCTACTCCAGTTGCTCGTATATCCACCATTAGACTGTTGATTGCCTTAGCAACAATTCATAAATTGGCGATTCACTAAATGGATGTTAAAACTATTGGATTAGGTGTCTAAGCCCATAACTATTTTGCTATGTACTTGACCCAATTATGAGCATGGTGCTTTTGGGCTGCCTTCGCCATAGCAAATGATAAGATGAATTAAGGAGAAAGGTGATTAATTATGATTTATTAATATATTACGTGAGTAATATATTGTAACGACCCGTCTCTGCTTTGTTGTTTTTTTAGTATTTATTTTTGAAGTTTGTAGAGGAACTCGGCGAGTCTATGTCCCGACTCGTCGAGTAGGGTCGCGTTGTTGATCAGCTTATAGATCGGCGACTCGGCGAGTCCATATTCAGGACTCGGCGAGTCGGCCTGCCAGGTTGAAACCCTAAATCTTCGGGTTTGCACCCTATTTAAACCACCTTATCAGCCCCAAACTCGCCTCCTTCACCTCAGAGAGCTGTGAGAAACCCTAAACCCATCCCTTGATTGATTGAAGTGTCTTTGTGTGGATTCTTGAAGGCTTGAAGAAGAAGAAGAAGAAAGGAACTAAGAGAAGAGGTGTAGAGCAAAGATCCAAGGTCAAAATCAGAGTTCTTTGAGGTATTTCTCGGAATCCTCATGTTTTATGCTTAAAATCTCCATTAGAACATTTCTAGGGTTAGTTTGATGTATTTTTCCAACCTTATGGTTGATTGGATGCCTTAATAGGTCGAGATATCCTTAGATCTGTTCATTTGGGAGTTGTAGAGCCCAGATCTATTATCTTTTTGAAGTTGTTTTGTATGAGAACCCTAGATCGAGCCTTTATCATGCTTTTTGAACCTTATTATCTTCTTGGATGCTTATATACACGTAAAGATAGAATCTTTACGTGTTAATCGAACTAAGGAAGCCCAGATCTATAAGTTTTAGATGCTGGATTCAAGCAGAATCGAGTTTTGAGTAGCTGCATGGATGCGACTCGGCGAGTCAAGCCGCGAGTCCCGATTTTTCCCCATTTGAGTGATGTCGAGTGGGAACCTGGGAGTAGGAGAGTGGACTCAGTGAGTTGGAGGGCAGACTCAGTGATGGAGGGACTCCACGAGTTGTTCATACAACTCGGCGAGTCCAAGGCAATCTTCTTATGATTCAAGAACAACTCGTCGAGTTGTTCATACAACTCGGCGAGTCGGATGCAGATGACCTGAGTGTTGATATAGAGCGGGAACTCGTCGAGTGTATGCCATACTCGACGAGTAGCAGCGAGCAGGGTTGAGAAATGAGAGTAGGGACTCGGCGAGTTGGCGGCCCAACTCGGCGAGTCAGGTCAACTGTAAAGTTGACTTTGACCAGGAGAGTTGACTTTAGCCAGGGGTAAAAGAGTCATTTACCCCAATGCAGTTATTAGTAATTTGATTGAGTGTATTTGTGGATTTGTAGCCGGGGAGATACCGGAGCAGCAGTAGATAGTTCCCGGAGCCACACACTCAGCAGCCAGATCACGAGGTGAGTTTCCTTTCAGTAGGAACGGGTCTAAGGCCACAATGGCGGCCCGTTTAGCTAGCAGTAGTATCCGGACTTCGGTCCGATGCAGATTCTAGTATGTTTGATGCCTTCGTGGCTCAGACAGTATTTTGAGTTATGTGTTCCGGGTTACATCCCGATGTAGTATGCTATCTATGTACTCATGTTAGTTGATATGCTTATGTGATGCTATGTTCAGTATGTTCCGGACTTCTATCCGATGCAGTCAGTTTCGGACTTCGGTCCGATGCAGTTAGTTCCGAACTTTGGTCCGATGCAGGAGGCAAGGCCTCAGTAGTTCCGGATCCCGATCCGATGCAGAGGGCAGGGCCCTGGTTAGTTCCGGACTTTGGTCCGATGCAGTTTCCGGACTTCGGTCCGATGCAGTGGGCAAGGCCCAGTATGTGTTTATATGTATTATATGGTATGTGGTAGTTTGGGGGAGCTCACTAAGCTTCGTGCTTACAGTTTCAGTTTTGGTTTCAGGTACTTCCGCAAGCAAAGGGAAGAGCTCG